GATTCACTTGCCTCAGCTTCCCAAAGTGCTGGGATTACAGGCATGAGCCACCATGCCCAGCCTAGTACTCATTCTTATCTCTAAAAAAAATCTCCAAAATGCAAGGAAATATCTTCAAATAATACAGAAAATGTCCATCTTCCTGTCTCTCTCACCATTTTATTTCTTCCCTAGTCTCCAAATTTTACTCTACAGCAGGATTTCTTACCTTAGCACTACTGACTTTGAATTGGATGAAGCATTATTTGGGGAAGGGCTATTCTGTGCATTTTAGGACATTCAGCAGCATTCCTAGCCTCTACCTACTAGATGCCAGTAGCCTGGTATCCACCTCCCAATCTTGACAATGAAGCATGTCTGCAGAGTTTGCCAAATGTACCCTGTAGGGCAAAACGAATCCTGATTTTGAGATCCACTGCTCTAAACCTACATAATTACCAGTGTAATCACTATCACTGTCTAGACCTATACTATCCAATGCAGTGGCCACTATACATGTGTGCATATTAAGGACATGATATATGGTTAGTCCAAATTGAGATGTGCTGTTAAGTGTAAAGTATACACTAGATTATGAAGACTTAGAATAAAACATTTTGAAATGATATTTTGGTCATATTAGTTGTGATGGTTTTATTAATGGGTCAGTTTGGCTAGGCTATTATCCTGTTATTTCATTGAACACTAATCTAGAGTTCCTTGCAGGTATTTTGTGGATGTAATTAAAATCAGTAATTAGTTGATTTTAAGTAAGATGATTTTGTAGATTTTGTATAATTTGGATGGGCTTCTCTGACTTCATTAGGAAGTCTTAAAAACAGGTCTGAGATTTCCCGGGGCAAAAGAAGGAGTTATGCCTGCGAATGACAACTTCAGTTGACAACTTCTAGGCTCAATCCTCCCTTATTGACTGCCTGTCTTATGGGTTCAGAAACGCTTAGCCAGTTCCGACAATCACATCAGCCAATTCCTTGTAATAAATTTTTTAAAGTATAAATGTATATCCATAATCTTCTACTGGTTGTACTTCCCTGTTTAATCCCTGGCTGATACATTGAATTAAATAAGATATATTATTAAAATTAATTTTATATTTTTCTTTATAGTATTTTAAATGTGGCTACTGGAAAATTTTAAATTACATATGTGGCTCCTATTATATTACTACTAGACAGGTCTAATGCAGGTCTAATCCCAGGGGGAGCAAAAGACCTTTGTAAAACTTTAGGTCATCCACAGAGATAAACTGTTTTCAAATGAACTGAAAAAAGAAACTTGATATTCTCTCCTATCAATACTGTTTTGCTTGCTCCCTCCTCTCCAAACCAACACATGCTGTGAAGAAGACTGGTGCTTTAATTCAGGTCCATAAAGCAAGTAAAATATCAAAGATTTAGAATGTTTTTTTGGCTATGCTAAGAAAGTTGCCTTTAAGAGATTATTCTTTACTCCTAGTAGGTATAACTGGAATACAGAGATGGAATGACATTTTTAAAATTAAAAAAATTGCACAGAATGTTACATTCACCACGTTATTAGGAGGACTTAAAATCGCCATTTAGAATAATATTTTTTTAGAGGTAGGGGTGTATGCATATGCGTGTGTATATACATATGTGTCTTCCACAGACACCTGCTGACCATTAAAAACTGTAAAGAAGGGATTCTGGAACTCACACAGGAGAATAAGAGGTGAGTTAGACTCTTCTGCTAAAGGTCATCTACCCTGAAAAATCCTGTCATAGCCTCCTAGTCTAACTTAGATTTTGGAGAAAAGACTATTTGGACAGAGTGGTGATGGTTTTGGGAACTAGACAGACAGTCCTTGTTGGTCATAGCAGGGTTTCCTGCAAGGTAGGTGAAAGTGCACATCAGAGAAGAGTTGAAAGAAGCACTAGTAGGAGCTACCTTGCTCCTCTTAGCTCTTGTGTACTTAGCCACATCCTGACAAAGAGAATGAGTAGTAGCAAGAATGGAAATGAGCAAGGAAGCATCCTCAACAACAAAAAAATAAAGACAAATCTCAGACAGACTAGGGTCAAGACCACCACTCAGGAGAAGGGAAAGGCGGGGGCAAATATATTATCTCTTTCCCAAATACATAAAAGGGAGGTAACTCTAAAGTGAAAGGTAAATACTTTCATGTTGGATATACATCAGAATAAGTTTTACTTAAGCAAAAATAAATAAAGGAAAATTAGACTGAAAAAAATGGCAATTTATTTCAAAGCAGTTATTTTTCACTCTGTGGTAAGTAGGGTAGATGCAACCCAGTTCTGCAACTTAGATCAGTGTCACAGCTAAAGCCTCAATTTTTTATTTTCCTGATTCTGCACTTCAGCCTTATACCAAACTAAGACAACCTCACTGCTCTGGGCAGATGCAGGCAGTATTCTTGTAAGCAGAGATCGTTCATTTTTAAAAAGATACACACACAGTAAAGTCTATACAGCTCACAACAAAGTATGCGAACTTACATAGGCAGTTTTTGTTTTACAGGTAGATACTCAAGCTGAAATATTAATATTTCTACAGAGGCAAACATAGACAAACACAGCTGAACTAGTAAAGACATACACGCACCTACACTTCTTTGCTCAGGAAGACAAAAAAAGTATTTCTGATGTTTCAGACTTTAGGGGAAATTAAATGTTTTTCTGCATGTTTTATTGCAACATTGCATTTTTCTTGGGGACTGGATTCCATCACTGGTGTCACGGACTGTGGATATCAGATGTCAGAAGAATCCAGTAAAGCCTCCCTATAGTGTGGCAGTTCTGTCTTCTTACACTTTAGCCAGGAAATGATGATCACTCAAGCTCCCATCCAATTGAGTAACATGTTACCAATTTAGAATTTGGAAAGATATTTTTCTCACAGGCAGGCAATACCGGATTTGTTACCTTCATTTTCTCTTTCCAGCTAAGGCTATACTTGTATAAATTGGAAAATCAAATTTAAAAGATTCAAGTCATTAAAGGTGGAACTTTATTGTCCAACGATCTTCAAATAAAATTGTTTTGTATGTGATTTTAATACTAGCTTCTACTTATTTAATAATTTGCAAACATAGGTGAATGTCTCCACTTAATATAACATGAAATAATGTATAATAGCATAAAATTGTACTTAAACATCATGACAGTTTTTGAGGACCAGTTCATTTAAACCTGAACCAAACTTGGATAAAGAGACTTAAGAAAAAAGGCAAGGAAGTCATTATTCACCTCCACATATATGTCATTTGCAATTAAGTGGGTGTACAATGTCTCTGAAAAGGTGTTCAGTCTCAGCACCAGATGCTAGTTCGAATCATAAAGTATATTTGTAACCAGTAAATCTTAAAAATTGTTTTGTGTCTTAGGAAACATAGAGGTCAGACTATCATAATCCAGGTGTGAGTCTGCCCATAAATACTTAAAGGTATGAGTTTCGACTTAAATTTTGAGAAGAGGAGAAGGGGAAAAAAACATAGAAAAAAAGTTACAATTATCTTTTTTTTTAAATTTATTTTATTGCATTTTAGGTTTTGGGGTACATGTGAAGAGTATGCAAGATTGTTGCATAGCTACACACGTGGCAGTGTGATTTGCTGCCTTCCTCCCCATCACCTATATCTGGCATTTCTCCCCATGTTATTTCTCCCCAACTCCGCACCCC